TTTATTGGTTTAAAGTAGAGCATTAAGAGAATACAAACACGATGGTCACTCATCTGGCCTCTTCATAGTTAAGATGCACACGGCCAACACCAACACGCACACACAAAACACACACCGGCAAATAGCAAAGTCAAATAAGACCAAAGCTATGCGTAGGCAAGGAAAATACCAAAGCGATTGGATCCGCGATCAGCAAACTACATTAATGGTCATATATCCACACCATATCATGACATTACACAGATGACAAGGTTCTCCCCTCCCCCTCTAGTTGACATTTAGTACATCTTTGATCTTTCAGTTTGCAAACTTTGCAGGGAAATGTTCATGCACTGGTCCTCTCCTTGTGGATGCTCCTCTTGTTCATTGTCTTTGAATACTTATTGTTCAGATGTCACGTTCTCTGGGTCTTCCCCAGTTAATAACAAGAGCTTGCTTGCACTTATATTGCTTGTTCTAGCCTCTAGGTAGTAGGTTTTGCAGTACTCCATCGGTTTCTTTTTACTCCGCGTGTAAAATTTGGTCAAAGTCAAACTAAACAAAATTTGGCCAAATTTTATATCAAAAAATATGAACATCTATAATGCTAAAACTATACAGTATGAAAATACATTTCATGGTGCATCTGATAACATTGATTTAATATTGTGAATGCTGATATTTCTTAATATAAAGTTAGTCACATTTGACAAAGTTTGATTTTGACCAAATTTTATACACGGACTAAAAAGAAAGCGAAGGGAGTATATGTGCAAAGTAGGGCTGTAATTGTTTCTCGGCAAGTGCGCCTTGCTCCATGTCAATTGCTACTAAACAATAAGCATATGTCCGTCAAAGTCACTACTTGCCTTAATGGACGTAGCTGGAACCATTGACAGAGCACTTTACAAACCAACTTTCAGTGATCACTGGACTTTCTTCTTGAACATGTGCGATTCAATCCTCAAACTGTTTAATGTACTACTCAACCTGCGATAATCATATTAGTCTATTCCCAAAATCGGACTAGTGCCACACTGTTTTCCGTTTTGCCCAAGGAAAATCAACGCATGCAGGTGATTGTCTATGAATTGGACTCAATGTCCCGTGATATGCTTCCTCCGTTCCTAAATATTTGTCTTTCTAGAGATTTCAACAAATGACTACATACAAAGCAAAATAAAATGAGTGAATCTTCACTCTAAAATATGTCTATATACATCTGTATGTGATAGTCCATTTGAAATATCTAAAAAGACAAATATTTAGAAACAGAGGGAGTATATTTTTATTTTATTTTTGAACCGGGCGTACCCCTTTCCATTTGCATTAAACGGAAATACAAAAATTCCAGATAACTAGGGAGAAGGGAAAGGAGGTGGCGAGTTCAACGCATTGACACGAAACCCACCGTGCCCGTCCGCCATCGAAATGAGCACTATGGGGCGAAAACCTGACAGCACCACACAGTCTAAACAACATACAAATCCAGAACACCAGCTAAACATGTGAACAGAGGGAGTATATGTGACAGATTGCGGGAGGCTGATGAGGACACGGACGGAGAAGGGTCGGGAGATGATAGGTCGTGCTGCTGCAAGTCCGGGAATGCACGCGGACGTGGCCACCGTACGTCGTGGAAGTGGAACAGGAAGGAGCACGTCCGATGGCGCACACGTTGGATGTTGAGGTTCTGCTCTTTCGACGTCGCCACGCCTCGTCATTCCCACATCAGGCATGCATGGCACGAGCGCTGCGAGCTCCGTAGCGCGGCGCAGAGAGTCAGAGAGGAGGTGTCGACGCGCGGAGCTCCGGCCGGCATCCTGGACGCGCTCTCCGCCACGCACGCCGCCCTACGGCCCTCGTCGAGCTCGACGCCATACAGCACGCGCCGCGCCGGCGTTGAGCCCTCTATGCCGCACGCACGCACGCACGCGCAGATGCCGACAATCTACATCGTTGCGCCATGGACGAGCACGTGTCCCGCTTCGGCCCTTCCGGTCTCGTGAGCCTACGCCTGCATTCCCCCTCTGCGCGCTCCAGTTGTTTGGCAAAATGCGCAGCCGTGGTCAAAACGAAAAGAGAGAAGAAGATTGACACGTGGGCGATGACTTGGCACGGTTTTGACATGTCATCGCCCGCATGCAGGCAATAGTTTTCTCTGCATCCCTAAGTGCGCATCTCTCTCTCTCTCTCATGATTGCGGTAATACTCTTCGCACAGTAGGTGGTTGGAAAATGTGAAATGCTGGTGTATGTGATGTTCTACGAGTTATTATGTCTGTCTCTGTGTTACATTTCCAAAAGTGATATCATGTAAAGTGGTGTCAGGCATCTTCAACACCAACCCGTAAAAAATTCTCCGACATCCGTCCGCGAACACGGATGCGAAAGGACGACATCTAACAATAGTCACATACATTTCAAACTCTTTTTCAACAAATCAGATGAAATGCATGCAAACATGTATTTCATACAAACACGATGGATTTCATTACATTTCAAACCAAAAAAAATACTCACCCTAAATCTATCCTACAGCGGCGGCGCCCGGCGTCCAAGCCCGTGTCGTCACCCATCCACCGTCTCCATGAGCATCACGATAAGGCCAATGAAGTGAAGGTGCGGTCTCTGGTGAGGAAGAGTAAAACACGGGAGACGGACTGGCCCACATGGGACACAATGCACCACCGCCTACCATGGCCTACTCGTCCTCGGAGGAGTCCGCGAGCTGTCCGTGGCCGATGGACGTGAGGTCCACGATGAAAATGGTGGCGCCGGTGCTGTCTTCGTCCCACCAGGCCGGTTGATGGCTCGGCGGCGGCGCGTAGGAGGCGCAGCTGGCGTTGTTCTCCTCTGTTGCAGTTGCGCCTCCGCGGTGGCCGCTTCCTGACGAGCGGCGGCTTGAGCGTGAACGACAGCGTAAATGGCACGCTGCTCCACGACGAAGTTGGGGTTCGCTGCGGCATGGTCGCCACAGCCTCCTCGCTCGCACGCTTGTCGTAGATCTGGCCCTCCGCCAACCAGTGCTGCTCCAGGAGGAACAAATTGTATGGTTGTTGTTCATGTGCCTGCTGGAACGCCTACAGAGGCGCTGGCGCAGGCTACACCTCTGCCATGGCGGCGTTGAAGTGCGTCTGCCCTTGCTCCATGCCAAAGCTGACGTGAACAGGAAGCACAGGAGCCGGGTGGAGTCGTCAGAGCTCGTCTCCATCGTGGTGTCGTCCTTGTCGTCG